CTGCCCCACATCACTCAGTTGATAAAGTGGAGCTGAGACTGGACCTATGGTCTTTCCAGAGCTCTGCTCTTCTTCCACTAGTTCACGTCCTGTTAATTCTCAGGGCATAATGAACACAGTACTTTATGAAATCTATTCTGGAAGTATCATACAGGGAGGATTAAATAGAAGCAAACTGAGAATCAGGAGACTCCTGAGATACAGACTGCAAATGCCACGATGCCAAAGACTACATGTGAGATTGAAGGAGGTTGGAATGAGCCATCAAAAGAAGAAAATACAGGACTTAACAACATGAGCAGATTGAAAAAGGCAAAGGATTAGAAGACACCACTAAAATTTCCAACCAAACAATCTGGTACAAATAATACCAACTGCATAGGGAAGATAATTTACAGATATGAGAGAAGGGAGTTAATGAATTTGATTCTGGCATATACCATGTATTTCAGAAAACAGCAAACTATACATGGTGAAATGCCATATAACAATTGAAAATACAGGTTTATAGTTCAATTCAAATGTTGGAACTGGAAATTTAGATTTGAAAGGAATTGACACCAGAGTAGATGGATTTTATATTTCAACTTATTAAAATTTTTTAAAGATGAATGGGTCACATCAGAAAATAAATGGTAAATAATAAAGGGTTTTCCCTGATAAAATTCATATCAAGAAAGTTCTTCTCAGAATATATTTATCAAAATTCAAATTTTATAATCATTGTCAATTTCTCATTTCTTCTGGTCTCAGTTCAATTCAGCATGGTCTCAATGCTTCTATCTACAGTGGTAAATTAATCTCCTGAGATTTAATCAACAACTCTTTTTTTTCCCCCAAGAAGATATGTTCTTTGGTTTTCTTCCCACTATGTTTAAGCTAAATCCTTTTTGATATGCATTGGGGAGAAATTTCAAAGTGATACCTTTGACAATTCTCATCTGGGTTTTAATTAAGGCACTGCACAAAATGCCACCTGATATGTATGTTCTAAAGGCTCAGCATGTGTCAAAAAGAAGTTAGAGGTCAAAAAATGAAACAGGTGTTTAATATTCTGGGAGCTTTAGAAGTTACAACTTCAGGTCTAAGGATAGCAACTAGAAAGCCTTGACAAAAGTTATATACAGTTGAACCTTCGAACTGCATAGGTTTGAGCTGTCCACTTATGTGCAAATTTTTTCAATAAATATACTGGAAAACTTTTTGGAGATTTGTGACAATTTGAAAAAACTCACAGATGAACTGCATAGCCTAGAAATATCAAAAACATAAGAAAAAGATATGTCATGCATGCATAAAATATACGTAGGTACTAGTCTATTTCATTATTTACTATCAAAATATACAAAAATCTATTATAAAAAATTACAATTTATCAAAACTTACACACACATAGACCATATATGGCACCATTCATAGTCCAAAGAAATGTAAACAAATGTAAAAATCCAGTATTAAATAACTGCATAAATTAACTGTAGTGTTTATTGTAACACTATAATAATTTCATAGCCACCTTTTGTTGCTATTGTGGTGAGCTCGTGTTGTATCAGCTTAAAATGCCATGTGATGCTAATCATCTCTGTATGAGCAGTTTACCTCTCCAGTAAATTGCATACCACAGTTAAAAGTGATCTCTCACAGTTCCTGTGTATTTTTTATCGTGTTTAGTGCAATACCATCAACTTTGAATAACACCATGGAACCCATACAAAATGCCACTAGTGATGCTGGAAATGCTCCCAAGAAGCAGAGAAAAGTCATAACTTTATAAGGAAAAGTTGAATTGCTTGATGTGAAGAGTAGATTAAGGTCTGCAGCTGCGATTGCCCACCATTTCAAGATAAATGAATTCCGCATAAGGACCATTGTAAAAAAGGAAAAGGAGATTCATGAAGCTGTCACTGCAGCTCCAGCAGCAGGTGTGAAAACCTTGCACTTTTGCAAAATACCTTTTTATCTCATATTGAAAATGCAGCTTTTATATGGGTTCAGGGTGGCTATAAGAAAGGCATACCTATAGGCTCTAATTTGATTCAAGAAAAAGCAAAGTCATTATATGATAATTTAAAACAAAAGGAAGGTGAAAGATCTAAAGCTGGAGAATTTAATGCCAGCACAGTTTGATAATTTTAGAAAGAGGTTTGGCTTTTTAAAAATGCCAATATAATAGGAGAAGCAGCTTCTGCTGACCAGAGGCAGCAGACAAGTTCCCAGACACCATTAAGAAAATCATTGAGGAGAATGGATATCTGCCTGAACAGGTTTTTTATGAAGACAAAAGTGCCCTATTCTGGAAAAAAATTCCATGCAGGATATTTATTAGTAAGGAAGAGAAGTGAGCACCAGGATTTAAGGCAGGGAGGGACAGGCTAACTCTACTTTTTATGCAAATACAATTGGGTTTATAATCAGGACTGCTCTTATCTATAAAGCTGCTAACACCTGAGCCTTGAAAAGGAAAGATGAACACCAGCTGCCAGGCTTTTAGTTGTACAACAAGAAGGTCTGAACGATGAGAACCCTTTTTCTGGACTGGTTCCATAGATGCTTTGTCCCTGAAATTAGAAAATATCTTGTCAGGAAGGGACTGTCTTTTAAAGTTATTTTGCTATTGGACAATGCCCCTGGCCACCCAGAACCCCATAAGTTCAACATCAAAGGCATCAAAGTGATCTACTTCCCCCAAAACACAACATCTCTAATTCAGCCTCTAGATCAGGGGGTCATAAGGACCTTTAAGGCTCATTACACATGGTACTTTATGGAAAGGACTATCAACACAATGGAAGAGAACCCTGACAGAACATCATGAAAGTTTGGAAGGATTACACCATTGAAGATGTCATGGTTATTTTAGAAAAAGCCGTGAAAGCCATTAAGCCTGGAACTGTAAATTCCTGTTGGAGAAAACTGTGTCCAGTTGTGTTACATGACATCACAGGACTTATGATAGAGCCAATCAAGGAAATCATAAAAGAGATTGTGGACATGACCAAAAAAGGTGGGGGGTGAGGGAAGGGTTTCAAGATATGGATCTTGGAGAGACTCAAGAGCTGATAGACACCACAACCAGAGGAATTAACAGAAGACCACTTGATGAAGATGAGTGCTTTCAAACCAGATGATGAGGAAGAGATATAACAGAAGCAGTGCCAGAAAACAAATTGACATTAGATAATCTGGTAGAAGTGTTCCAATTATGCAAGACTGCATTTGACTTCTTTTACAACATGGACCATTCTGATACGGGCACCAAAACTAAAGCAGATAGTGGAAGGTTTGGTACCATGTTAAAACATTTCTAGAGAAATGAAAAAGCAAAAAAGACAGAAATTACAATGTATTTCCATAAAGTTACACTGAGTGTGCCTGCCTCTCCTGTCTCTCCTTCTACCTCCTCCACCTCTTCTGCCTCTGCCACCACAAGATCAACTCCTTCTCTTCCTCCTCCTCCTCAGCCTACTCGAGGTGAAGACTATGAGGATGAAGGTCTTTATGATGATCCACTTCCACTTAATGAATAGTAAATAATCACTATGCTGTACTGTTAATAAACTTATCTGTTGTGTTTGTGTGTCTGCATGTGAAAATATAATAACTGTACAGCAAGAACTGTATGAGACGTTTTTGTGTCACAGTCATTATCACCTAAGTATTCACTGTGTAGAACATCATGTGCAAGACTTGTATATAAGTGGAAAGCCTATCCTTATATAGGAATAAGGTGAGTGATATTTAATATAAGATTAGTAATGTGTTAGTTTTCTTGCTATTTTATAACTTGTTTTCAAAGTATTACATTACTGTACAGTATGTCTCTCTCATAATTGGAGAAACAGTATCAGCCTATCATCACAATGATTTTTTTAAATGTAACAATGTTTCCAATACTCTATAATGAATATGACTGTATACTATATTTCATAAAAATTTTATAACGATTCATTCATTAGTGTATAGGCTAGGCTACCATAAATTAATTATATTGATTACACTAGGCTACCATAAAGCAATCATACTGCTGCTCCTTTATTATCAATGCATGAAGCATCATACCTGTAAATAAATGAATTTTTCATATTTTATTCATTTTTGATGTCTGGTGTAATACATATAACATCTACTGTGTTTTGTATCATATAACACAATATTGATGTAGATACTGCCAAGACAGACAATTCATCTTGTAAACAGACACTGTTTATGGCACTGTAAATGTGTTTTCTCTTTCTCATGATTTTCTTAATAACATTTTCTTTTCTCTAGCTTACTCCATTGTAAGAATACAGAATGTAATACATATGCAAAATATGTGTTAACTAACTGTTTATGTTATCAGTAAGGCTTCCAGTCAAGAATAGGTTATTAGTAGTTAAGTTTTCAGGGAGTCAAAAGTTACATGCAGATTTTCAACTGCATAGGGGGGTCAGTGCCCCTAACCCCCACATTGTTCAATGGGTCACCTGTATTTAAAAAATTAATTTATTTGGGGGGAAGTATAATGTTAAAACAAATGTAGAGCAACCCAGTGAAAACAATTTTGATTTCAAAACAAAAAAAAAGTTAAGGAGAGGTAGGAAAGGTAGCTACCAATTTAAAACAAAATATTCTGGAAGCACTATGATCTGTTTTTATTTTCAGGATATAAGTGACAAAGCATGAAGAGGTAGAAAAAAGAGGAAGCAAAGTAATAAAAAATGGACAAATTAGGTAGAAAAAAGAAGTTAAGCAAAAATTCTCTTCAATCACAAAGACTATAGTGTTTATAAACAAATTTATGGCCCCTTTCTTCTTCTAAATCAGCATCCTTACAAAAGGGATGAAGGTGTTCCTCATGATCAGGATGACAATATAATTTAATGCCCATATTGGGGTATTTCTACCTAGGACAAATGCTAAACCAGATAAGCTACCAATACCACTGGTATAATCAGGAGTATCCCAGGCAAACCAAAATGACTGTGTAGTAGATTATGAGAATGAACACAATTCCTCACCCCTCTCTGTATCCCCATTTTTTGCAAAGACTTTACAGCTCCTCATATCAAGAGGTGGACTCGATTCCCCACCTGTCAACTCTGGTCTGACCCGATGATTTGTTTTTGGCCAGTATCGTGCAGCAGAAGTGAAGTGCCAGTCCTGAGCCTTGACCTCAAGACACTTTGAGAATCACTTCTTTCGCTCTTGAACTCCTGCCATCGCCATTAAAACAAATCCTGTTAAAGGATTAAACACCATCAGGAGAGCTAAGACAACCCTCCACCCCAAACCAATATCCAGTTAACACCCCCAGAAGCTGAACAGCCTAGCTAACCTGCAGCTGACCATGAGAACCCAGCCAAGATCAGAACCACCCAACTGAGCTCAGCCTAATTGCCTCTAAAATCATAAGCAACATGAGCCACTGTTTTGGAGTGGTTTGTTACACAGAAATAACCAAAATGACTCACTCCCAGTGTGCCTACCACTTCAGAAATGCAGCAATGAAGTTTCCTACTATAGTGACCCAACCCAATCCATCTATACCTGGGGCAGGGTTAAGAAACCCAAGGCTCCTCAACCAAAGCCCTGGAAGATATTAAGCTGATGCTTTTTTTTTTAAGTCTCTTACTTATAGTAACCAAGAATGCTCCATCCATAAATAATATTGGCTATCTTCAATGCTTACTTCTAGGAAATTAACATCTATTGATCTTAAATGTAACACTAATATCAACTTGCCTTTAAAATAGCCTATTTTAAAATAGCCTATAGTTTCAATACCATTTTATTAACAAAAAAAGAACTATGAAGCATAGGCAGAGCAGATATCATTACGCTCATTTTACACATGAGGAAATCAAATCACAGAGTAAATTAAATGACTTTCACAAGTAGCAAGTGACCAAGCTACAATACTTATAATTACACCTACAAACTTTCAATACTCCTTCTCCTTAGAGCTCTTATGCTAAAATCTTGGGTCAGTATTGGCATATCATTTTTCAAGTATTCTGAGGCACTATTTCCTTTCTTATAAAAGTAGGGCTAACATGACTTAGCTCAGGATTGTTTTGAGAAACAAATAAAATAATGTATAAAAAAGCACATAGCACAATGTCTAACACAAATGTTTAGGCCCCTTTCCCCCACTCACCATGATAAAGCTCTTTTCCAGGCTTCACAACCTCAACCCTCATCACTGAGCATCACTTGAAATGATAAACGTTCACATAATTAGTACAGGCAAATTTTATTTTTATGGTAGAAGCATTTATTTCAGTTATAGAAAAATAACACTATTTCAAAGTCAAGGTAACTAAGAAGAAGTATATTTTTTCCCTATATACCCATACTCAAATGTCACATATGGTTTCAAGACATTCTTAAATTAACAAGGACCAAATGCAGAATCAAGGTAGTACCTGTCAATAGAAGAGATATACTAAGGCTACATATCAGCTCTGGAAATGGGAAAATACAAAGTGATCTCGTGCAGTGATTCTCAACTTTAGTGTGCATTAGAATCACCTGGATTGTGGAAGAAGTACCTTCTGGGGACTGAAGGCACATCACCAAATTAAGCAAGCCCTTGGTCTCAGAATAAATACCAAAGGGACTAAAGATACATACTTTGTTGCACAGGGAGGAGCAAAGACAAAATACATCATGATATATGAAATTAGCCATTTACACACTGTATGACTTCTAAGCCTCAGATTCAGGAATAATAATAGATACTACTCTCAGTTTTCTACAGATTAGGTCAGGTAGTGTGCAGTGATTCCCTAATTCAAAACACACAGCTACTATCATTATTTCATCACCATCATCATTACTATTGGATACAAGGACATTCTCCCCCCACCCCCACTCCCAGTTCCAAATAGCTATTATCTATTTTAAAAATCAAATTACCACTTACCGAGTTCAAGCTCATTGACTACGGGGACCATTTTTAAATTGGTAACATTTTTACTAGCTTCAACCACTTACATTAAGATTTCAGTACATGTCTGAAATGAAAATTTTTGTCTAAACTAAGACAATGAAGTCAAAGAAGAAAGGGTAACTAACTAAAGCTTAAAAAGTGTGCGTGGTATCTAAAGCATCAATAGCTAGACGAATGAACTGCTTTTCAAAGTGACCCACTTTAGACAATCTCTGATGTTCCCTACATTGTTTTCTGACTCACGTTATTTACAGATGGAAACATATGAATAAAATACCTATAATCTTCATTACTTTCTATATTCAATATACTACACAGTAATGTTTCATAGTTGAAGTTCTGGGCCATTTAAGTAACTCCCACATAAATATCTGAGGTTTTAATATTCTGAAACTGAAACAAAGCTGAAGAGGTGCTCAGTCAGGCTAGGACAGGGTTTCTCAACCTCAGCAATGTTGACATTTTGGGTTGGATCATTCTTTTTTGTGGGGGGCTGTCCTGTGCATTGCAGGATGTAGGCATCCCTGGTCTCTCCTTATTACATGCCAGTAGCAACATGCCCCACTGCCCAGTTTTGACAACCAAAAATGTCTCCAGACACTGCCAAGTATCTTTTGGGAGCCAAAGTCACCCCCAGTTGAGAACTACTGAGCTAGAATTTTACAGACATAATTGTAAACTCTGAGTGCACAGATTAGACAAGACTATGTAATTTTACTAATTTAAAGAGTATAGCACAATAGTTTTTGCTATACTGTTTATGCAAGGGCACATAGTTTTTATACAATATACTACTTAAGCATATAATTACCCACAAATAACTATCTTTTTCCTATTGAAAACACCAATTTTTTTTTTTTTTTGCGGTACGCAGGCCTCTCACTGTTGTGGCCTCTCCCGTTGTGGAGCACAGGCTCCGGACGCGCAGGATCAGCGGCCATGGCTCACGGGCCCAGCCGCTCCGCGGCATGTGGGATCTTCCCAGACCGGGGCACAAACCCGTGTCCCCTGCATCGGCAGGTGGACTCTCAACCACTGCGCCACCAGGGAAGCCCTGAAAATACTAATACTAAACAGGAAAAAAAAAATACAGCTAATCCTGCTACCGTTTTTATATTATCTAAGCCTATGGTTTACAAACGATTGATAAATGGAGATCTAGATAGATCACTGCAAGTGTCCTTCCTTCTGCATTCGTAGTCTCTCTTTCTCTACTTGTAAGCGCTCCTTTTCAATCTGCAGCTTCTCTGATTCAAATTTTAAAAACTGCAGCCTATCTTTTTCTAGTTGCAAGCGTTCTCTCTCAAGTTTTAACTTCTCTGTTTCTATATCCTGTGGTTGATATACGGACTTTTCTCCTTGACCAAGTTCATTTTCCAAAGATGGTTTCTCTGAGGTGACTATCTGTAACCTCAACCTCTCTCTTTCAATCTGCAGCCGCTCCTTCTCCAGCTGAAGCCGCTCATGCTCCATGTCTAACTGTCGCAGCCTCTCCTTCTCAATCTGTAGGCGTTCCTTCTCTACCTGCAGTCTTTCAGCCTCAATATCAAGCCGTCGTTTTTCCAATTCTAGTTTCTGTTTCTCTATGTTTACAAGCAAATGGGGCTCATCATATGCAGACCTAGATGGTGTTGAATTCAGAGTAAAAAACTCATCAATGTGGGGGAAATCAGGAAGTTCACTTTCCCTCCTGGAATCCGGTATGACTGATGACAACATTTCTTCTTCCTCTTCAATCTCAAACTAAAAGAGAAAAGTAGTTCTCAGTATTTATTTATACTTCATGGTTGTTAATTTGTCTAAGAATTTCTTAAAAGCTTTCTGTATTGTTTGAGCACACAAAACCATTTACTTTGAATTTTGAAAAATATTTACTATTACCTGACATCATTAATATATATAATTAAGAGAAGTATATTTAGGTGAAAAGAAAGAGATTGATGATATTAAGATGGAAAAAAATGGAATGACTTTGTTATGTACTATTTTTAAGTTAGCTTGAAAATCTGGGAATTTCTTAACTGTTCCTGGTCTATAATAAACTTTCATATCAGAAATGGAGAAATAAAAAGAGGGTTCACACAGGCTAATACTTACTTCAGGACTCTGTGGATCTCTTTCTTCCTCTTCCACTTTGACCTCAGTTAAGGATCCACCTGCATCCCTGAAATCTGCCACATTTTGCCAATCAAAATTTGTATCATTTCGGAATCCAATCTTTTCATCTATCTCTTCAGTGAGAGAATCATCTAAATCGGATGTGGGAAGGGGAAACCCCGAACCAACTAGCTTAATGTTCGCCTTCATCCTCTTTCTCTTCATAAGTGCTCGCCAGTCAAGGTACCTCCTTTTCACTTCTGTCCCTGTTCTCTGTTCTCCTTCTCCTACAGCATTCACACACTGTGCAATCTCCTCCCAAGCCATTCGCTTCATCACATTAATTGTTGTATTGAGCTGCTTGGAAAAAATGACTTCTTTCCTTTTTGTAATTTCTTTCAAAAGGGTCTGAGTTTCTTGTACACTGAAATTGCTTTTCCTTTTCCTTTTCAATTGCTTCATTTTCTAACTTAAATGCAGTTTTTACAGTAAGAAAAGATGTAAAAAGAATTCTGAGGAATGCTACGAAGTACAGAAATCAAGGACAATTCCTTGTTAGTACTTTGTTTAAATCAGAGTTTTCCATTCATCCAATAGCACAGGCAGGATGGATGATTCCTAAAGAGAAAAAAGTAAAAATCAATCAACCTGCAACTTCTGCAATGTACTTCAACCCAGTAAGCTATATAATTAAAAAAACAAAAGACCTCTAAATATGGCTCAAAACTGACTATATTTGTGTCTCTGCCAGCATTACCACAGTCCAAGATACCGTTTTCTCTCACCTAGGCTGCTGTAATGGTTCCGAACTAATTGACAGTATTCACTCTTGACTTGCTCCCTACTTCTACTCTACTCCCCCAAATTCATCCTTTCTACTCTAACTACAAAGGCCTCTTTCAGTCACCCATTCTTGTCAGTCCCTTTCCCAGTTTAGGGCTTCTGCACATGCTGTTCCCTCTGCCTAGGAAATGGATTGTTCCCTGCCTAGCCTACTTAATTCCTCCTCATCCTTCAACTTGCAGATTAGACATCTGCTCCTCAGTGATGCCTTTGCTGACAAGTCAAATTACTCCTTGTCTTCATCTAAATGTTACACTTGTGCTAACATACAACTAAGAATGTCTCTCCTATTTCAACAGAAGTTTCATGAGGACAGCAACATTTCTACTCACCATCACGTCCCCAGAGTCTAGCAGAGATCCTGGCATATGGCAGGCATACTTTTTGAATGAATAAATGAGTCAACCTGCCAAAATGACCATTAGTTTGGGATGTCAAAAAGCAAAAAAATTTAGACTCTGAAAGAGGGTGTACCTGAAACTTGCTAGAAAGGTAAACTTTTCAGGCCCCACCCCAGACCATTTGAATAAGGAACTCTGGGGGCAAGATCCAGCAATGTGTGTTTCAATAAGTCTTCCAGATGATTCTAATACATGCTAAAGTTTGAAAACCATGGGGCTGACTCACACCAGTGAAACAAATGCTTCACACACCTGATTCTCTTACAGACTCTGATTTCGAGTCTTATAAATAGTGCATCTGTTTGGTGGAATCTAAAGCACATCCAAATCCTCAATACAATAGCTGAGAAATGTAGTTTTTCTGCTATCTAGCCTTTGCATTATGGGAAGGCACACTAGCAAACTGGAAAAGATGTTGAATGGGTCTTTTTCTTGGAAAAGAGATTTTTAAAAGTATGTAATGGGGACAAGGGCTCAGAAAGAGTAAGGGATATATAAACAAACCATGGTTTATGACTTCTAATTCACATACTGATCACTGCTACAGAGCCGATTTTTTTCCCTTGCTTACAAAATGAGAGGGTTGGGATGAGGCTGTTAAGGTCCACGTTTCCTGCCAATACAAAGAAAAAAATACCAAATATCCATTAAGTTCCATGTCCTGTCATTTAATCCCCACCACAGCACTGAATGCGAGATACCATCATTTGCATTTGTATTTATACGACAAGATTCAGGCAAATTGAATAATTTGCACATTACATGGCTAGTTAAATGACCGAACTTGGATATAAATTCAGGCTCCCTTAGGCCACATCTCCTTCCACTTTATTAGCAGCTTGTGATAGCTAAATCTTAGAAATGTGTTGCTAAGTTTTGAGATGCCTTTTAGTAGAAAATTTTCAAAAAGAACAGATCCTTATCTATGTGGAAGGTTTGGATAAAGTTCTGTATATAGGCAGAAAAACCCTCCGAAGTTTCAACCAGTTATGTTTCACTCTACCATGGTTTCTTCTCTTAAAAACTTTAATATCGGCCAGTTTAAAATTTTTATTAGAGTGAAAAATTTTTCCCTTGTAATTAAAAATATAAATAGTATTTTCTACTGAAGCAAAAATACAGCAACTGAGTAAGGCTAACTAAATTTAATCAGAAAATGCACTAATATTTTCTATCACTGTTTGAGCCTCTTCTCTTTAGGACTTAAAAGTGGATGCAAATCCCTTATTTCTAAACTCTAATAAAAAGGTAATTTTTATTAAGATTTCACTAAACTTCTATGCATTTTTTCCTTTTCAAGTTTCCAGTAATCTTTTTCAACTGTGTATCTAATAACATCACCAAAAACATACCCACCACTATGTCATTTTGTTTCTAACCTCTGATGTAGAATAACCATCTCCTGAACTGCCACTTGCTGCTGAAATGGAGACTAGAGAGAACTAAAAGTTCAAAAGAGTAGAAAATAAACTCTCAAGAAATCATTGTCAATTTCATACATCCACAAAAAGGGCAAAGCATGCAAAAACAAAAAAAGATTGCAGCAAACTATGCCTAAAGCAGACTTCCAAAATTTCTTGAGACATTTAATAATAAAATTGAAATCCACTAAATAAGAATGTATCATCAGTGGCAGCACTTTTGATCTTGCCCTAGGCAAATCCTGCCTTTATAGTCAAATATAAGCCTCTTGTCACTAGAATATAAGGAAACATATTCATACAAAAACCATAATTCAAAAAGAGACATGTACCACAATGTTCACTGCAGCACTATTTACAATAACCAGGACATGGAAGCAACGTAAGTGTCCATCAACAGATAAATGGATAAAGAAGATGTGGCACATATATACAATAGAATATTACTCAGCCATAAAAAGAAACAAAATTGAGTTATTTGTAGTGAGGTGGATGGGCCTAGAGTCCGTCATACAGAGTGAAGTAAGTCAGAAAGAGAAAAACAAATACCGTATGCTAACACATATCTGTGGAATCTAAAAAAAAATAGTACTGATGAACCTAGTGGCAGGGCGGGAATAAAGACACAGACATAGAGAATGGACTTGAGGACATGGGGCAGGAGGGGGAAGCTGGGGTGAAGTGAGAGTAGCATCGACATATATACACTACCGAATGTAAAATAGTTAGCTAGTGGGAAGCAGCAGCATAGCACAGGGAGATCAGCTCAGTGCTTTGCAATGACCTAGAGGGATGGGTGGGATAGGGAGGATGGGAGGGAGGCTCAAGAGGGAGGGGATATGGGGAGATATGTACACATATGGCTGATTCACTTTGTTGTACAACAGAAACTAACACAGTATTGTGAAGCAATTATACTCCAATAAAGATCTATTAAAAAAATATATCATCAAAAGAGGTAGTGTAGTGTAATGGTTATGAGCACACGTTCTGCAGTCAGACTGCCTGGGTTAGAATCCTGACTCTGCCACTTCCTAGCTGTGTGGCCTAATTTAAATTCCCTATGTGCAATTCCACTTGTAAAATAATATTATTACTTCATAGAGATACTGTAAGGATTAAAGGTTTTAGTAAAATATGGAATAGTTCCTGGAACACAGTTAACAAATTAGGTTTACTACTATTGCACGAAAGGCAAATCTTTAAATAATTTTGACATAGGAAACAGAAAGGCCACAATAATATTGGTATTGTTCTAGTTCGTAGGTCAAGTGGTAGGTCTGTGGGTCTTTATCATTATGCTTTATAACATTAGTGGTATATTGGAGCCTGCTGATGTGAGCTGGCAAAGGTCATTGTGCACATCTCTTCCCAACTCCACATTCAGTAATGTCATATTTGGAAATAGAAACTGGCCAAGATGGCAGTATTTATAACATAGAACTGGATAAATGTTACAAACTAGAACATTTTTCTTTTGAGTGGTCAGGGAGTTAGTTTACTAGCACACTTAAAGCTACATGATTTTTGCATATTTCAAATATTACCTAATAAAAATTAAGAAAATGCAATGTTTTAACATCTGATCCCACAACAGTTTAGTGAACATTCTAGAAGACTTGTAATTTTAGAGGATCACATTTAATTAGCACTGACCTAACATTCCTTATGTAATTCAAGTTATCAATTGGGCTGGGCAAGTATTCTGCTTTTCTCTAGAGGCAACTGAAGAATACTCATGAAATACTATATTTATAAGCAACACAAAAAAGGAATTGAACCTAACTGATTTACACATTATTAAACCAGCCCAAATATACTTCTCTTTAGTACCTATGTTGTGGTTGTGGCATATTTCAAGGAATTACTGCAGTCAAACTTGACTTTCTCCTTCCTCTACCATTTGCTCCACCCCTATGAGGAGCTGGAAGATGGTAGCCCACCTGCTCCAAAGGCAGTATCCTGAACACATAACACTGTGCCTAACAAACAGAAGGAGGTAAAAATACAACTTAAAATAAGGCAGTGATTGAGGGATGGGAAAGAGAGCAGAAAATGAAATGGAAAATAACTCAAGTAAGGTCAGCTAGCAAAACTGAAACTGCTATGGGCAAAGCGTTATGTTTAAAAGGAAAAGGCAGCTCAAGTCAATATAGGCAAGAAGCAGTTTGTGAGATTAAGTGAAGACTTTAGATAAACTACCTACCCTATAACTATGCCAAAGAATATAACAGTTAACAAGTTATACAAAATTCTGAAAGGAAATTTTAAATAAATAGGCTATGTTACTACTTAGGCAGTATGAACCAATGATGAGCAGGTTATCAAAGACATATTTAAAAAATGAAATCAGCAGGTTAGATGTCCTTAAAAATAGAACAGATTGCTAAAGTTACATCAAATTCCATATCAAATTACTTACAATGCATTAAGGAAGACTTTTTGTTTCCAAAAGATACAGAATGTTTCAGACCATTTAAATAGCTTCTTGAACCATTTAAAAAGCACTGTCATATTTAAAAGGTAGAAGCATGATAAAAATATAAATATTCATCAATAAGGGATTAGATGAATAAGCTATACTACAGCTACATAATGGAATATCATGCCCAATTAAAGTATGAATATGGCTTAGCACAACATTTTACTATGTTAATGCAAGCCAACAAAACCAGAAAAGGAATGTGTACATATGTCTATGTGTGTGTACATACTCACAGAAGCTCAGTTTTCAACTTAGGAACATTTATAGACAGAACATGCTATGCTCTACAACAGGTTCACTCACTCTGTCCACCACCAACCACCAGTTCTAGGGATCATGTATACAGTCGTTTGTCTCAATCACAGAGCTGTTTGTTTGCCTAGAGCACATCTGTTTCATTTTACTTTGAGGTGATTAACATTATATTAAAAATATATTTATGAGGAATTTTTATTACAGAAAAATACACTTTTTAAAGTTCCATAAACCCAATACCCACAAATCTCTGTTGACTTAAAAAAAAAAAAAAACAGTAAAATACATAGGTATGGTTAGAGAACCTAAATAAAGCAACAAAATTAAGTGAAAATCTCTCTCCACCACCAGTGTAATTGATATTAATAATTTCTTGAGATGTTTTCCAGAAAATCATATGAATATAAAAGTACAGATGTATTTATGAAACATTATATATTACACATATTACATGAATGCATATTAATTCCATTCATTAATTTAAAAAGCAGTGACTGGGCTTCCCTGGTGGCGCAGTGGTTGAGAGTCTGCCTGCCGATGCAGGGGACACGGGTTCATGCCCCGGTCCAGGAAGATCCCACATGCCGCAGAGCGGCTGGGCCCATGAGCCATGGCCACTGAGCCTGAGCATCCGGAGCCCGTGCTCCGCAACGCGAGAGGCCACAACAGTGAGAGGCCTGCGTACCACCAAAAAAAAAAAAAAAAAAAAAAAAAAAAAGCAGTGACTGTTGAAGATGTTAAATTATAAGAAAATGAAAGGAAAATTGAAAACAGAAAAATGAGATGTATATGAATGATTCTAAAGGACAAATGAAGAGACAAAGAGGAAATCATGAATGTAAAAACTTACCACCCTCTACAATGAAAAATAATCAACAAAAAAGAAGAAAAATTATGAAATTGAAAAAATTCTAAAGATGTTGTCTCTCAAACCTTACGTATTTGAATCATCTGGAGCGCTTATTAAAATGAGATTCTGATTCAGTAGGTCTGGAGTGGGACCAGTGATTCTACATTTCTGACAGATTCCCAAATGATGCCGACGTTGCCGGTCCTTGGACTACACCAACAGAAATAGGGATCCACACATGTAATTTAAAATCTTCTAGTGGCCTCAGAAAAGCAAAAATGAAACAAAACCAAAAAAATTGTAGAATTAATTTTAACATATTTAACCCCGTAAGTTCAATATATTATCTTTCCAATATATGGTCGATGTAAAAATGATTAATGAGGGAGTTTCCATTCTTGTTGTGCTACTAAGTCTTTGAATCCAGTGTATATTTTACAATTAGAGCACATCTCATTTTGTACTAAACACATTCTAAGAACTCAATAGCATATATTAGTACAGATCTACAGCACATCAAAATCACCTAGGGAGCTTTTAAAAAATACTTATAACCAGTCCCTATCTCTGAGCAATTAAAACAATCTTAAAATACTGCTAGGCATTGGGAGTTTAAAAAGTGCTCTAGCAGATATTAAGCATTCTCAACACATACACACACACAGAGTTAACTATGTGAGATGATGGATGTGTTAATTATCTCTATCTTGGTAATCATTCCATAATGTATTATGTATATCGATCATCATGCTGTATATTTTAAACATATACAATTATATTTACCAATTATTCTTCAATAAAGTTAAAAAAATCTCCAGGTGATTCTCATTTGCAGCCAGGATTGAGAAGCACCCCGCTAGAGAATCAGTGTTAAAAGTCGACTTGCTCAAATGTGTACTGAGAGGCTAGATGGAGTGCAAATGTTGTAGCTGCTAAGAAATTTCCCTTCAGAGATCATTAAGGCTTCATCTGCCACAAGACTTGCAACAACAGACAAAGCTGGACTCTTTTTGGAAAAATATGCCCAGGAGAAAGTCATGTTAGGTGGAAGAAAAATATGTCTAATTGTAAGAACCAATTCACACTCCTATGTGTTGGGAATACATCAAAGGAATACAAGCTAAGTCAATTTAGACTTAAGTAGAAATGGACTGCTCTCGTTAGAGAACCAAACTTTCTTTTAAGTCTTTAGACAGCTACCCATATCTTTATTAGAATTAGCATTGAACTAGGAGTATACATTGGAAACATCCATTAAGACTGAGCGATTAAGACACAATGCTTCATTCAACAAATATGTATTGAGTGCTTAAAACCTTTCAAAGGCTTTGTACACATTTCGGAGGTAAATTTACTCTCCCTAGTCTTTCTCTCTCTCTCCCTATTACAAACCCTGAGTCCTACCTATATATATTCGTATCTACCTTTGCCAATTTTATCACCTCCAATACTAACCCCAAACATACTTTCCCAACCCACCCTCTCCAATACACGTCAGTATGGGCACACACAGTATGTCATTCTGAAATTCCTCTAAATTCTAGACCAGTGCTGTCCCATACAAATATGACAGTCACATATACAATTTTAAATCCTCTAGTAGCCACATTAAAAAAAGTAAAGAAAAACAGGTAAAAATTAATTACGATATATTTTATTTAAACTAATATACCAAAATATTATTACTTCAATATTTAAACAATATAAAAACAATCGAGACATTTTACATTCTTTTTTTCTACTAAGTCTTCAAAATCCAGTGAGTATTTTGGACTAGCCATACTTCAA